ATTAAAAAGCATGAGGTTATGTTCTCCGTTTTTAATTTAATTTGTGAATTTTAAGTGTTTATTTATCTATTTGTCCATTTTTTATTTCTGCGTTTATTTTTAATTATGTCAGTTTCGGTCCTCCATATTTCCAAGTGTCACATGACAGAATATTATTAAAAACTCAGATTAGGCTTTTTAAGAAAAGTTATAAAATCAGCTCAAGGACTTAAAAACAAATCTAAATATTTATTTTCTTCCTGCTGCAGCACGATGGACAGCCTTACTGCCACAAACCCTGCTACGCCGTGCTGTTCGGACCCAAAGGTRTGAAGACAGGAATAAAACCACAGCTGAAAAAGAATCAATATATATAAAAACCACCATGTTCCCAAACAGCAGAGTTGTTTTTAGAGCTTYCAAAGGTTATCAAAGGAAGCTGTGCTGAGATAAAAACCTTGTAGGAACTGCAGGTCTGCAGCTGAGAAATGTCAGAATCTGTGAGAAAATCAAAGAAAACAAAATAATAATCATTTTAAAACAGCTAAAATATTTATTAACGAGATTTACACCAAATTCTTTTATCATGCTGTAACTAATAAACATTTATTCACAGATTTGTTCACTTTTAATCATTATAAATTAAATTTAATGATCTAAAGCAACCAAATTGTAAGCATTGTTTATTTATTGCATTTCTAAATTGTTTGTTTTCAGGCGTGAACACCGGAGGAGTCGGCAGCTACATCTACGACGASCCTGAAGCCGAGGCTCAGCCTTAAATTCAGCTCTTATCAGCCGAAGAAACGAAGACCTCCAGGACCCTCGGTGTCTCTGCCTTCAGTAGTCGTCATGGTGACAAATGATATGTAGACTCACAGGAAGGGAAACTTAGTTATTTATGTTGTAWTTGTATATTGTTTATATTATCTATTTTTTTGTACTGAATCAAACCTTTAATAGTCCTCCTGTGTGAGATTTAGATTTGCTTTTAGGTTCATCGGTTTTCTTTGCCAAATAATTATTATTAACCTTTTAYTGTAGTGGATTCCAGCTCCTGTGTTTCTCCTTCTTTCTCAGTAGGATTAGACTTCTTGTGCACTTCCAACAAGTACTGTACGACAACAACATGTACCAGCCCGCCGTTTTATTGTCAGTGGTTTTGAACAAGTTGATCTTAGTTTTAAAAAGAAAAAAGAGAGGTTACATAGATTCACAGAGAGATGAACATTTTACTGAAGGCTGGTCAGCTGTTAGTCCTGTTTTCTACAATAAATTGTAGTGAAACAAAGCTGTGTTGTTGTTTTTCTGTTTAAACTTCAACTTTCATGTTGGAATTCAGCCATGGATTAATTTCACATTAAGAGCACTGATCTCTGGCGTAGAAAAGAAATTATTCATGCAATAAACTAACAATACTTCAAATCTATATTTGTTACCTACAAATAAATGTACAGAGTAATGTAGGATGAAATAGTATTTTAAATAGACTTAATGTACTGTTTAAGATCAGAGTTGTAAAGTAACTACAAATACTTCTTTACTGTACTTAAGTAGAGTTTTTGGGTATCTGTACTTTGAGTAATTATTTTTGAGACTACCTTTTACTTCTACTTTTTACATTTTCACACAGTTAACTGT